CAGTCTTATCCCCTTATCTGTTTAAAGAGTTCCCGTTCTTCCTTCTAATGTCCTTCTCCCCTGGGTTTCCTGACTCCCCAGAAGTCTTGGGTATTCCCTCCCCCTTTTGTCCTTGCTCCTCATTATCCCTTGAACATGTCTTCACATGTCTGTCACCTCATCACTCTGCCCCCACCCTGCTTCTTGACCTTGAGTTCAAAGAGTCCAAAAGCCTTCTCTAAAGCATGTTGGTGTCTTTCGTGCCTGAATCAGTACCTGGCACAATTAAATAATCAGTGGAGTGTATTTAAGCGGGGACGCTTTGAGAATGGAAGAGCCTTGCGTAGGAATCAGAAGTCTGGTAAATTAACCAGCTAGGTGATCACAAGTAAGTTGCCTATCCTTCCTGGATCTACTCCTTCTTACTCATAAATAAACCACGTCTAGTAGCTTGCTCAAAAATCCAACAATTCCATATCTTTTCATTAATACCTCTAAGAGCCCCAAAGTATTTGATGATAAATCAGTGCGATATTCAGATGGTTCCTATGAATCCCCAAAGATTTGCCTTTGAAAAGCAAATTCAATTGCATTCAAAATTACCTTACTTGCCTGACTTTAAAAAAATGAACTTATAAAGAAACTTGTCTGAGTACATGGAGATATTTAAATTAAGCTACCATCAGACAAGATTTTCAGGCAAACCTTTCTCTTCCTAAATGACACAAAGAAAGGTCCAAGTCACGGCCTGAAACTTCATCAAGAAACTGATTTCTAATTCTGGCTCTCATTGACACAAACTGGTTGACTCACTTCCCAAGTAACTTCACTTCTGGTTTTCCCAGCAGAAAAAAGTGGGATTTGCTGAAGAATTATCTCAGAAAGCTCTGACACCAGTGAAGGGCTTGCTAAAGGTGGTACAAACCTTGGAAGGGCCAGGTTTGAATAGCTCTGAGGCACATGAACACAATCGACAAGGGCTTCCCACTGTAGTAGGGAGTTTTCATCAGTCACAGGTACCCAGCTGAAGCTCCAGGTGAGACTGGAAGCCTGACAGTATCAAACATAACGTTCAAACAGGTTGTACTGGTTTTGGAATCAGAGGCATTCAATTTTATATCTGATGTGTTGAATATTCTTCTAAGTTGTTCAATTCTTGCATGCTTTTTTTTCTTAAAGATTTATTTAATTATTTGAAAGGCAGAGTTACAGAGACAGAGAGAGAGGGATCTTCCATCTGCTGGTTCACTCCTCAAATGGCCACAAGAGCTGATTCGGGAGCCAGGAGCTTCTGCTGTGTCTCCCACATGGGTGCAGGGGCCCAAGTGCTTGAGCCATCTTCCACTGCTTTCTCGGGCCATAGCAAAGTGCTGGATCGGAAGTTGAGCTGCAGGGTTCAAACTGGCACTCATATGGGACGCTGGCACTGCAGGCTTTACTCACTACACCACAGTGCCAGCCTCTTGCGCCCCCATTCTAAAAAATGGTATTTTGCTAATTCAGAACAAGTTCTTTAGATAAGTGCAGCTATAAATTAAGTATAAAAAAGTGTACATATACAAATTTGATTTCTCCTAGTCTTTTCATAAGATCCAAGAAATCTAGGCCAGCATGTTAAGCTGCCTTTGGTGACACTGGTATCCCCTATGGATGCCAGTTCATGTCCCAGCTGCTCCACTTCTGATTCTGCTCCCTGCTATTGCCCTGGGAAAAGCAGCAGAAAGTGGCCCACAGCCCAAATGTTTGGGCCTCTGCCACCCATGTGGGAGACCCAGATGAAGCTCCTGGCTCCTGGGTTTAGCCTAGTGCAGCCCTGGCCATTGCAGCCAGCTGGGAAGTGAACCAGCAGATAGAAAATCTCTCTTTTTCTCTCTCAACTTTAAATTTTAAATAAATAAATCTTGAAAAAAAAAAACAGTACGAGAACCAACAAATGAATCTGGTCTAGAACATAGTATCTCCAAAAAGAAGAAAATAAATAAAATAAAATAAAATAAAACTTCCCCCAAAGAAGACCCAAGAAATCACAAGCTTAGGCACAAAAATCTGTTAACTCACAGTTTGCCTTTTCTCAAATGTTTGTCCCCAGTCTATGGATACATAAATGACATATTCATAGGATATTCTGAGCAAATCAAGACCAAAAGAGGAGAATGAATTATACTAGGCATGAGTGGGTTCTTTTCTCTGGCACGGCAAAAGTAAAAACTTCTGCTTTTCTTGTATGTAAATGAAACTTGACCCAGGAGAGAGAGAGAACAGATTGCTAAATAAAAATGAAGGGAGAGTTGACTGCCAAATGCAGTTTAAAATCTGTATTTTTATACAGCCATCCACACCAGCAACTGTTTATTAGGTTAAAAATTATCAGGTCAAGAAATACAGTGAAAGGCCTGATGATTTTCCAAATACCCTTCTCCTACAGTAGAAGAGATGCAATCTAGCCAGGTCAACGAGGAGATCAGCTCCCTTTTACCTCTAGTACACACCCCTGTAACACGATGTCTTATAACAGCAGAGGTTTGATTGGCATCACAACCACTACAGTCACCTTCCCCATTCTTGCAAACATTCTTGTGGATGAGTTTTAAACGGCTACTGATCGATGGCCCTTTTGCAAAGCTTCTCTACTACATCCCCTCTCACTCTCTCATGGTGCCACCAGTTGTATTTGATCAGGCTCCAGGGACGACACAGTTGACCTGTCTATGCTATCCATCCCCATAATAAAATATTTACGAATACATGTAAAAAGCCAGGGTGCTGCCTTGGCGCCTATAACAGTATGCGGGAGGTTTAAAACAAAAGTCACCGAAAATGCACATTATGAAAACAAACACTATGCAAGTATTTTAAAAACTTTGCACCAAAATAAATTTATCTTTTAATTCCATTTTTCCACAAACTCTTTAAAGTCCCCTTGTATCAGAAACTATGTTAGCTAAACCAGTCTCGCTAGAAATAGGAAAATGTGTAAGTTCATGTCAAGTGAAGAATTCAGGGAAAATTACTTTCCTTCTCCAGTACGTATTTGGGAGCGCGTTTCCTGATCCAACAGTTCAAACACACTTCCTGTGGTTCTGCTTCCACTTCTGTGCCAGATGTACGGAAAACCAGTTCTCTCCCAGAAGTCAGCTCACCCATGAGCACTTTGTCCTGGAAGCCAGCACTCAGCTTTCCTTCCCAGCTCTGCCACGGACTGCCGGATGCCTTGCCATAAAGAACCCCTGTCTTCTGCAATGTCCAAAGCATTCCAGGCCACGAGCAGGTTGTACCTTTGTCTCACCTTTTTGCTCTCTCCTGCTCAGAGCCCTCATGCAACTGGCTAGCCTCCTTTGCAGCCATGTGCCCTGTCTTTTCATGATCCCACTGTATAAGGAAATTTGTCACGCTGTGGTTGTTTGAAGAAGTATTCTCAGAGCTCCGGGACCTGGTGAATGCATTCAGCTGTTCTATTTTTGGTTACTCTGTTTTCTTCTCGGAAGAGTCTGATTCCGGTCTATGTCTTGGGCACTCTGCCATGGACACATTACTCCACCCCCGCACTCTCCCCGAGTCAACTTTTAATTTTACCCAAAAAGCTGTACACAGAGAACGTATGACGTAAGGAGAGGACAGGTGTGTTGTTGTGCTAACTGGGCCCACACCTGAGCAGGGCAGCAGCTGCGCTTTGGGAACTGGGGGCCGTGAGCACTCTCCGTGCTACAGTGATCTTAATCACCCACACGCTCACCGGTCTCCCCCGTACCGAAAACCCCTATTTCCTGTAGGCAGAAACATGCCCAGGCATTTGCTGCTTTAATTTGAAGTGTCCAGTCTCTGACCTCGTCATCAATGATAATACTTCCTATTGTCTGACCTTCACCAGGGTGAGAATTCCTGCCCCAAAGCAACCAGCCAGGGAACTGGCAATTTTCAGACCAACCCCAGCAAGACAACACAGAAAGTCTTTAGATTTACCTTCTTTCCTGTGGTACCTCCTGCAGTGAAGAACATCTTTAAAGACCTAACAACATTGGTGTACTTGAATGACTAAGAAAAAGTCATGCAAAGTAAGGGAAGCATGGGACAAGAATAAAGATGGAAAGAATATTGTAGTTAAGCACAAAAACTACCAGAAAGGTGATCACTCCCTAAAAGATGTCTGTGTGAGTGGCTGGGACAGACTCATATCTGATTAAATTCTTGGGGTAAATGTGTGGATATGTGCACACACAGACACCTTCAACATGCAAGGCAAGCATTTGGCATAGTGGTTAAGATACGGGATGGGATACCCCGACCCATATATGAAAGCCTGGGTTCCAGTCCTGGCTCTGCTCTTGAATCCAGCTTCCTGCTAACGTGCGTCCTGGGAGGCAGCAGGTGATGGCTCCAGACTGGGGGACTTGGACTGATTTCTGGTTCCTGGCTTCTGCATGACACAGTCCCAGCTGTTCAGAGTATTTGTGGAATGAACCAGTAGGTGAGAAATCTCTTTGTCTGTCTGTCTCTCTCTCCCTTTCAAATAAATAAAATAATAACTAAATACATCTTTAAAAATGAAATACAAAGCAAACTATTTCAAATAACTCAATACCTTCAGCATTCTTTACAAAGCAAATTTCCTTGAATGTCCATGGAATTTATGAATACAAATGGCAATCAATCTCTTTCTTACCTCTTTTGCTATTGATTCTCTGCCCACACTCATTAGCAGAATGGATAAACCAAGTACCAATGACCCAGATCTTCAAAGTGGCAGCTCATAAAGGAATACCGGGATTTTTGCAATGCGGAGAAAAAGAAGAAGAAAAAAAGAACCTAGAAGCAGTGCCCTTGGCTTGCCTCTGCTCCGCCACCTCTGAAAAGAAGGAAGGAAGGAGAGACAGCAGGATGTTTGACCACACTTTATGACTGCTGCGGGGAGAAAAAATACTCAACTGTTTTGGCATCAGCTTATTTCCAAGTGACTGTCTGCAGCTGTTACAGCTGCCGTCAGCACAAGCCAGAGGGGAAAAGTGCCCAGTGGGGCATCTTACCTCGGGAGCATGGGAGTGCTGGCAGACGTAGGTGAGGCACAGAAGCAGCCCCAGTGCCTGAACTACGGAGGCCACCAGCAATAGCTTGTTTCTCTCAAACCTTGGCCTTGGTGCGTTTCCCACATTCTCTTCTAGGGGTCGGACCCCTTCCATCTTCACAATCTGGATTCAGGAAAGAAACAGACGTGACCTAGGGAACTGTTCGGGGTAAGACGAGCGTCTTCCCCACAGGGAGGAGAGGAAGGCAAAACAAAGCTTATCAATCAGAAAATAGACAAAGGTCCCAGGACCAGAGATTAAAGGCGATTGAAAGAGCACAGCAGAGTCTCTCAGTTTTAACTCTGCAGCTTCTGCAGCAGGCGGGGGAACTTCTCTGTGACTAATCTGAATTTCCCCTTTACTTTCTTTTTTTTTTTCCTCTGGGCTAACAGGGAGTTGTTTTTGTGGCATTCCAGTTCTGATTTGAGTGACTGTGAAATGACAGTCACAAACGTGTGCTATTTTCTTAATTTCTCATTGCACCAGTAACCAAATTGTGGGTCACTTGTTAAAGATCAAGATCATCATCCGTTGATGTATGAGCTCACAAATCCCTTCTTCAAGGTGCCTGAAGTCCCAGAAGAGATTTAAGGAAAGTGGTGGCCTTGAGTCCTTGTGTTTATTATGTAACTAAGCATTTTACAGATTCAGAAATAAAGCACACAGAGACCATTCTTGAAATGAAAAAGAAGAATAAAATAGGATCATGTAGAAATAAGGGAGTAAGACCCTCTAGTTTTATAGTCCTACACATTAAAAATAAGCTAGTATTAACTAGTAAAAGTTGTCATAAATGATATCAAAGTCACATATAACACCTCATTTGCATCTACCATGTTTCTAAAACTGTGTTAGATGCTCTTACAACCCTTTTCTTATTTAAGCCTTTGAGGCAAATTCAGTAAACACTTACATGATCAATTTTCTGCAGAGCCAAAAATAAGAGTTTTAAAAAGTGCTTTTTCCCACTCCTCTGCTTTACATTTTCCCTATACATAATTTTTGCATGAATGAATAATTGAATAGACATAAATAATTCTTGGAAGTTATTCCTTTCTTTGAAGTCCCAGCTGGACTCAGAAGCTTGGCAAGTGAGAATATTCTACCAGGGGTAGGAATTTAACGTGGTAGTCAAGTTGCTAGTTAAGACACCCCTGTCTCACATTCCGCACACCTCCTGACTGCAGCTTCTGCTGATACACCATCTGGGACACAGTGGTGACAGCTCCAGGACTTGGGTCCCTGCCACCTACACAAGAGACCTGGGTTGAGTTCCTGGCTCCTGGCTTTGGCACCCTGGCTGTCACAGTCATTTACAGAGTGAACTAGCAGATGGAAACATTCTCTCTGTGTGTCTCTCTGCCTCTCAAATTAAATGTGTGTGTGTGTGTTTCTATCAATAAATACTGCTTATACTGTATAACTGAAATATATATGAAATAAAATGAGTTATAAAATTATGTACAATGTCAAGTTGAACTTGGCAAATATTTACTGAGTATGTATCATCAGCCCAGACTTAATAGACAACATGGAGAGGTTGGGCAAGGACTGGGTTAGACAGAATTCTGTCTCTCTTCTGTGTTAAGATATTGTGTCTCAGAACTCCTCATGAGACACTCAACAGGTATGTATAGAAAGAACGGAGTAGGAAATATTTTGGATATCATCAGTATGAGTTGTTATATACAACTTTATTTCACAGAAAATGGGTATGAGGCATATTCGAGAGAGGAACAGTTTATAGAAAATGGAAAGGGTGCTTATTATATACAGTGCTGATGAAAATATGAACTAATACCTTCTTTATAATTATCATGCCTTGCATTTGCAGAATACACCGGTCTTCAGAGTTGGTTTTCATCTGAAAGATAACAAGGCACCATTATCGTAACTCCAAGTCAGAAATAGAAATCAAGTAAATTCCTTCAAAGCATATCTGTAATAATTATTCCCATGAGCAAACTATGTGTAACCTAGAGCATGTGGAGAAAAATACTGAAGGAAGAATCAGTGTGTAGGGTCCAGTTCTTGTGTAACAGCTGATAGTCATAAATGAGGCACTGATGTCAGTAACTATTTACTCATTTATTTTCAACAGATGACTAAAATATCACAGCAAAAAGCCTCAAATACTACAGGAAACTAGAGAAAAGCCAGAAAAAGAAACAGTAAAAATTATTCATGTTGAAAAGCAGAGAGAATATTTTTAAATAACTGCCAAAAGGATTAAAAACAAACATTTACAACACACATAATTGTACCTCAAATAGCACTGCTTCTAGGTGTTAACATCATCACTTTTATGAAGAAAAATTGTTTTTCTTTATAGAATATAAGAACTGTGCAGCATAATGAATGTCCATTGTTGTGTTGTCCCAAGACGGCACATAATCAGCTACACCAACACTGAGGCCTGCCTGCCTGTGGCGCACCTCTCATCTCCCCTGTCTCAGCCTCCACCGCCATATTTTGCCTAGCTACAGTTTTGATTGAGGTCTAAGTGATATTTTATACTTCGTCATTTCTTTTTCTTATTGAACATTCTCACAATTTCTTCACATTTGTTATGGAGAGAGAACATATGCAAACACACATACACACACATAGAAATTGGACTGGAAGTTCAAGGTGAGAAGGTCGGAAAGGTTATATAAGCATTTCAAAGCTCATCATTGGACTGGTCTAGCATTTGAACAAATGAAACCACCATCACAGATATCATTCATGGATCCTAGCATTGTGGCACAGTGTGTTAAGCCTCCATTTGTGATACCTGCATCCCATATGTGAGTGCTGGCCCATGTCATGGCTGCTCTACTTCCAATCCAGCTCTCCGCCAATGAGTGTAGGAAGACAGCAGAAGATGGCTCAACTAGATGGGTTCCAGCCACCCACATGAGAGACCCTGATGTAGTTCCAGGCTCCTGGTTTCAGCCTGGACCAACCCCAGCCATTCTGGCCATCTGGGGAGTGGAACAGTGGCTGGAAGATATTCTTTTTCTCTCTCCACCCCTCTCCTCCTTGTCTCTATCACTCTGTGTGAAATAAATAATGAGTAAATCTTAAAAAGAGATAGAGAGATCATTGATAGCATTTTAGTCTCAGATAAGTGGATGATTTCCATCTTGAAAATGAGTTTTAAAAAACAAAATTGAAATGTTTTTAAAGAAGTCAAGCATTTTACTGCACATATGGGCAATTGTTTTTAAAGCATCTTAGACCAATCAAATTCTCAGACAGCTCAGAGTACACCAGCTTTGGAATGAAACCTTGGAAACTAAAATAAGCCAAAGGAAATCTCCTCCCACAGATCGCAGGTCCTCTAAAGTTAGTAGCCAAGTCAAGACTACAGAAAAGTATGGAAAATAAAACAACCTCAATAACTGACCTGAGACCTCATGCTCAGAAAGCAGCAAAAACTTTTGGGTTTTTTGTTGTTGTTTTGGTTTGGGGGTTTTACTGTTGTTGTTGTTTGGTTTTTCAGTCTTTTGATTTTGGGGGTTTTTGTTTGTTCATTTGGGGTAAAATCTGCTGTTTTCATTTGTTTCAAAGTTGAATTCACATTTGGCCATTCAGCAAGCCTGAGTTGGGCACCTTCACCTTGGTGCTAGGGGGAAACACATGAAAAAAACCCGAAGACAGGGAGGCAGGAAGGTAGGGTGCATGGGGCAAGTGCCACTCTGGGCTGTAATGAGGACCTGGAAGCAATTATATCTTCAAATGTCAAAAACTTGTTTAATCATCAACCAGCTCCAGATCATGATGTCACCATGCTACCTAATAATTTCACCACGATGGGACCTCAAAACCCCAAATTGGTTTTGACTCCCCTTTGTAGGACTATCCTGGGCAATGAGACCCAGGCTTTCCTCCTCTTTGCCACCCCCATGGATTCTGACCAGAGGACTTGTCACCCCTCACTTGACTTCTAACTGTTCTCCCTACTTCCACTCTACTTGATCTCCAATCCCTTCTGCTCCTGAAGCTCAGTGAGATCATGATGCCACCCAGCGTTTCCATCCCACCAAGGATGAAATTCCGTAGCCCCACATTGAAGTCACTCCAGGACGGAGCCTCATGTTTCATCTCCAAACTCATCTCCCCCTGTCTCCTGATTCTTTTCTGATATTCATTCTACTTCAAATGTCTTACCCCTCGATCTCTGGCCATCAAAACCTGTACACTGCACACTTCCTCATGAGGGGCTGACTTTCGAGGTAGTAAGCTTACAATGTCCCAGAGGAGGCTAACCAAAAACCTCAAAGGAATGCTGTTCAGAGAGCTCTGGCATAGAGTAGGAAGTTTATAGGATCAGTGGTTCTCCAAACCTACTTGAGTATCTGGATCACTGGGAGACCTTCTAACAGACTCAGATTCCCAATTTCTTACCTCTATAAATTCTGTTAGTAAGGTTGAAGTGGAGTCTTGCACAGGCTTATTTCTACAACACTTTATAAGAGCTAGATTTGTGAATCTCCCCCGATCACTTCAGCCCCTTTCAGCATGACATTTCTAGGATAGGGAGCCACCCGTGGGCCTGAGAGAAATACAGATGCTTTTGCCCAGGTGTCGAGAACTTTTGTCCTGCTCTGTCTCATGATTATGTAAAATCCATTCTGGTCTCCCGCAAGATGTTGTGTGCTGACAAAAGGAGGCGTCCTGTAATGTACACTCAAAGGGCCATAATAATCTATAAAGATTTGCCAGATTAAATTAAATTTGCTTACAGCAGATCTGAAGTACTTCATTTAGAGGACTACAAAAGAACAAGGGTCTAAACAATACTGAAAAAATCACTATTAATTACAGAAGTCTCCTGGTATTTGGACTTTGACCTTAGACTTGAAAGATTAGTAAACTTGAAATGTGTACTTTTCAGTGAAACCAGATGTACACCATTAGTTATGGTGCAAATGTGAACTTGTGTAGTGACAGCCACTTGGGTTTCAGATTCAGCCCCTCACTTGTCAACCACTTTTCTTCCGGTACCGATTTTGTCTTTCTATTGCCTGGCACTTTTATCTTGAGTTGACCACTGGCAGTTATTTTAGAATATGATGATAGATTCTAAATCTTAATGAAACAAATCACCCACAGAAATTTTTCCTTGTCCGGAACTACACCCATTAAGTATCACACCGTTATGGAAAGCTAATATCTAGAGAGACCTTTGGTACTCATGGAGTTGCATTTTAACTTGTGTATTTAAAATA